ACTTAAGTAGCTTCAATCCCCTTATGGGGTCTTTTGGAAACAGCCTTTTATGCAATGCCAAAGTTACCCTAAATTCACCCGAAAAGAGAGCAGTTGACTCTTAGCTCCTAGAAGTTCTAGTTAACACTTAGTCCTGGAAGCTTTCATTTCTGTCCCTTCTGCTGTTTTAGAGCTGTTAAAGTTGTCCTCATGTCTAAAAAGAGGAAAGGAGGGAAAAAAACACAAAATTATCAGTGCCGAACCTCAAACAAATGGCTGGGGTTTTCCTTACCCACTTCATTTGTGTCTTTGCTTTTAGCCACTCTCCACACAAGACCCAAATCCTGTATTTAAAGGCATAAGACAGCCTTTAAATATAAACTTTCACCCAATATACAGACTCAAAGTCAATCTCCAATCTCCTAAATCCAATCCCTTTGTTCTCTTGGTAATTTTTCTCCCTCCCTTTTAGCTTTTGAAGTCATCCCCACCCAATCTTGGGACTTCCTTGGTGGCTCAGATGGTAAAGAAGCTACATGCAATGCGGGAATTCCAGGTTCGATCCCTGGGTTGGGATTATCCCCTGGAGAAGGAAATGGCAACCCACTCCAGTATTCTTGCCTGGAGAATCCCCATGGACAGAGGAGCCTGACGGGCTACAGTCCATAGGGTCACAAAGAGTCGAACACGAATGGGTGTCTAACACATACACACACCACCCAGTCTGTTCGTGGTGCTTGGAGTCATGGCAGCTATCATGCAACCATGAGGCTCCCCTCTGCCAACACACTGAGGGTGGCAGGACAGAAAAATGGAAAGAACCCAGTTCTAAAATGATGCTTCCGAGTCTGCACCAACCCTGGTAGCATGACCAGCAGAATTTGTATGTCATGAAATTAATGAACATCTTTGCTTTAAGCCACAATCATTCACATGATAGTTGTACATACTTTAACTAGTACATGGCCCACATTTGAGAAACACTGTCATCAACATTGTTTCTCAGGGGTCTGTTCTAGACCCTCCCCTCTTCATACACACACCCTTTCCCTGTGTGATCTCATCCACCACCTTGGCTTAAAATATGATCTTCTTTGAAGACTCCTAGTGTTTCTGGCCCAGACTCTTCTTTTGAACACCCCAAATATGTAACAAACTCTGTAACAGACCTCACCCCTTGGATGTCTTCCTGGCACTTCAGACTCAACAAGTCCAAGAAATCATGACCTTTTTCCCTGAACTTGTTTGTTCCCCAGACTTTCCCATCTTGATAAATGACCCCACCATCTACTCAACTGCTTGAGCTAGAGACCCAGGAATCATCACTGCCTCCTCCTTTCCCTTCAATCACCAAGTCCTGGGGTGTCCTCTTTCTCTCCATTCCCACTGCTTCTCCCTCAGGTGAGGCCACTGCCACAGACTCCTCACTGCATTTCCTCCCAGGGCCCCTCCAATTGTTTCTCTACACTGCAGTCAAACTTATCTTCCTAATATGCAAAGCTAGTTAAATTCTTCCTCTAGTTAAAACTATTGCCTGACTCATTAAATTAGAAAGGAATCTTTTCTATCCACTCCCAGTACATGGGTTAAGGCCCTCAATAAAAACTTCGTTGTGCTTTTATTGAATTTATTAATTGTCTGTTTCCCTACTAGTCTCTAAGCTCTTTGGATCAGGGGAACTGAAGTATCTCCCACACCTCACAACAATGCCTGGCACACAATAGATAATAAGTACAAGATGGCAGAGTAGAAGGACATGCTTTCATCTTCTCCTGCGAGAACTCCAAAACTACAAGGTGCTGCTGAACAACCATCGACAGGAAAATGTTGGATCCCACCAAAAAAAAGATATCCCACATCCAAGGTAAGGAGAAGCCTCAGCAAGATGGTTGCGGGGGTGAAATTGCATTTAGAATCAAACCCCATGCCCTCCAGAGACAGACAGAGGGCTTAAACAAAACCTTGTGTGCACCAGGAGACCCCATGGAGACTGAGCCAGACCTGCCTTTGAGTGTTTGAGTGTCTCCTGCAGAGGTACGGGTCAGCAATGGCCTGCCACAACGGCAGGGGCTCTGGGTGCCACAGACCTGGGAATGGCACAAGCCCTCTTGGAGGATGTCACCGTTAATTCCACCATAGATCTGATAGAACTTACACAGGACTGGAGAAATAGACTCTTGGAGGGGCACAAACAAAACCTTGTGCACACCAGGACCCAGGAGAAAGGAACGGTGACCCCACAAGAGAGTGACCCAGACTGGTCCATGAGGGTCCAGGAGTCTCCGGCGGAGGTGTGGGTCGGTGGTGGCCTGCTGCAGGGTTGGGGGCACTGGGTGCAGCAGTTCATGCATGGGACCTTTTGAAGGAGGTCGCCATTATGTTCATTACCTCCACCATAGTTTGGCATCAGGTCAAACAACAGGGAGGGAACACAGCACTGCCCATTAACAGAAAATTGGATTAAAGATTTACAGAGCATGTCCTCACCCATCAGTTCAGTTCAGTTCAGTCACTCAGTAGCGTCCAACTCTTTGCAACCCCATGAATCGCAGCACGCCAGGCCTCCCTGTCCATCACCAACTCCCAGGGTTTCCTCAAACTCATGTCCATTGAATCGGTGATGCCATCCAGCCATCTCATCCTCTGTTGTCCCCTTCTCCTCCTGCCCCCAATCCCTCCCAGCATCAGGGTCTTTTCCAATGAGTCAACTCTTCACATGAGGCGGCCAAAGTACTGGAGTTTCAGCTTCAGCATCAGTCCTTCCAATGAACACCCAGGACTGATCTCCTTTAGGATGGACTGGTTGGATCTCCTTGCAGTCCAAGG